AAGCGATCTGCTTTTAAGTACTTAGCATTTCTAAACAGTTAGGGTTAGGAGACCATAGGGAAATGTTGCTACTGGCTTGCTCCCCATGACTCACTCAGTTTGCCTTCTATGCAGTACCAGGAACAGGTGTCCAAAGGTGACACCACCATGCAGGGGGCTGCTTCCTCTCACATCAATTATTAATCAGGAAAAAGTGCTCTACAAATTTTCCTACAGGGAAATCTGATAGAGGCAGTCCCTAATTTGAAGTTCCATCTTCCCAGATGAGCACACGTTTAACTGAACATTTCACCAAAGCAGAAATGCAGGTAGAGCATTGACACTTTTCCCCACTCTACATAATCAGGAGCAGCCATGGTCAGAGTAACAGCCAACACCAACTCAGGCATGGTGATACACACCTGAACCCAAAGCTTAAGAAATGGAGGCAGGGGATCAGGAGTTCAATGTCATCCTGACCTACACACCAAGATAGGAGCCAGCCTGGGGTACATGAGACACTGTCTCAAACAAACAAACAAAACAGCCAACACCAAAATGGGGGGAGCCTTGTAAAGAAACAAGGAGACACAGTTTTCTAAACCCAGATAATAGCAACAAAGAAGGAAAGGTGAACTTAATCAAATGAGAGCCTGCTGCATAAAGAACACAGTGACGACACCTAAGAGAGTCAGTTGAACCTTTGATTCATCTGGGCATCACAACCATGAGTCAGGTGTTTTCTTTTTGATGTGTGAAGTCTCCCGAGGTCTGTGTGTCCTACCTCTCCAGTCTCACATGCCTCAGTACTCAGCTGAAGTTATACTCTAGCAAAACAATGACTTATTCACCAGAACTGCCTGCTGTGGGTATTTGAGAAGGAAGAGAACACATAGGGGCTTGGACCAAAAGTCCAAAATCAGCAATGGCACAGTTCTGCAAGAGCTATCCTGATGATCTTCCTTGCTCAGCTCAGGAAGATGGAACACATCCTGGCCCTGGGTGTGTTTACCAGCATGGGGATGTGCCCCAGAGAGCCATTAGGAACTGGCAACCTTGGTGTAGTTGAAACAAATGATTGAAGATGTTTTCTTTTGGAGGCCATTTGCAATATGCTTTTAATTCTTCCACATCATAAAATCAACTCACTTTCCACTTTTGTGGGTGCTATTAAAGAAATGAGCACAATCCCAGAGAAATTCATTTATCAAGCATTTAATTGAAAAGTACCAATGCTGCTGCACTATCAGGACTCTCCTCATGGTATCCGACTTTCTAAATTGTCCCAGAGCTGCAGCATAGCTCCATTTCTCTTCCTGTATAAAATGCATTGTGCAAACAGAAGACCCTAGATAGACAAGGGCCTATACAGCTGCTATCACACTAACCATCACTCTTCAGATTGTCATTACAAATTGACTTAAGCACATTTTTAGTTTAGGCTGCTTTCTGCTTTGTGGAGAATTTTGTTTAAAGAAACAAGAGGTCAGTTGGCACAGAAGCAACTTGTCATATTGTACCTAATGACAAGTGTTTCTCATCTCGAATTGAATATACCACAAATGACAGCTAAAGACAAGAGAGCCAATTGATAATCAGGAAACAGTGGGTCAGATTGTTTTCCTGTTGTTTCAAGCAAAGCTTTTAGAAGAATTCGTGACAGATCATTACAAGCTGCTGTTGTCTGTGGAGCTGATTTGTGACCAAACATTTCAACCTGAAACAATTAGGTTAGAAAGCAAAAGACCATCACATTAGACTACAAAATAATTTCAGCTTGAAAGGCAAGCAGTAAGTTTTGGTTATGAGGGCTCTGTTTGTTGCTTTTCTTTGAATTTCTTGACAGTAAGCCACAGTAGGAGCTATTAACAGTGTTTTCCAATATAGCAGTGTGACTTCTGGCTATTACACTGGTGGAAAGAACTACCTCCTTGAATCTTCTAGTGAAGTTCAAAGAAATAGGCATCCTCTAATATCCCTTATAATTTGTTAAATGCCAGCCATGATAAATTTGGAATCAGGTTCAGTTGAGGAACTGAATTTAGCCATTCAAGATGGCTATGACTGCTTAGAAAGTCTTAATATCTTAAATCAAACTCAATCCGTTAAGTGCCCTCACTTAATATGTGGCTTACTGGCCCACTTAAGGTTGGAAGTGCCTTGGAAGCAGAGGCAAAGCCCCTGCCTTAGAAATAAGCCAGTGCTTTCAATCAGTTGTGGCACAAAACTCATGTCTTGCAGCATATGCAGATCACTCACTTGGTTCCAAGGATGTAGCTAGCAAGCTTTGAAGATGCCTTTAAAGAGCACGGAAGTGCAGCCCTGCTGAGAGCTAGTGGAAGGGGTGGAGTGACAGATTATCTGAATCAACCCTGATCTGCCCCCACCCCCTGCCCAGCTCTCCTGAGCACTCATTTCCACAACAGAAGAAGACTAGAACAGTGAGGTTGATGCAGGAATTTCTTTTCTTCCTTCATCTGAAAGCCCTTACTTCATCTATACAATATAGAAAGGCTTTTTTTACCCACACCCAAAGACAGAAAGATCCACAAACAGTATAGGAACACTAATCAGATTCAGTGCCTGCCAGGCATGGATTTCACCTGGGTGTCTCATAAAACCAAACTGCTACACTCAGAAAAAGTCCTCACAACAAAGAAGGCAACTGACAATTGATACTTTTGTTCATGGTCATTTCTGACTATAAACCCAGAAATATTTTAACTGATGACAGAGAAGAGAAACAGAGTCTCTACTCTATAAGTAAAGGTTCTAATTTCTAGTCCAAAAACCAGCATTGATGATATCTGAGTAGACTGAGTACTTCCCGGGTTTTCTTTGCAGATGTGGGACTTAGCATAATTTGAGTATGGATCTAATGTTGGGGGGAAGGGGTATAAATGAATATAACCTGATGTGAAATGCTAACTCTCCTATTTCCATTTCCTAACAATGCAATCATAGCAAACTTACCCAATTCATCGTTTCCTCATCTGTATGATGGAGATAATACATGTTTAATAACATCTAGTATGTAATACACAGAAGTGTTAAGTCTCCTTCCCAAGATTATTTGTATAGAGGTAAGAATGATGAGGCCAGGAAAACAAAACTAGTGAAATTAAATGTTTACATTTTCTGCATTTTGAAGTCATATAAAGATGCTTTGGAACCAGTGAGATGGCTCAGCTGTTAATGGTACTTGCTGCCAAAACTGAAGAAGTGAGTTCAATTCCCAGGACCCATATGGCAAAAGGAAAGAACCAATTACAGCAAGCTGTCCTTTGACCTCCACAACTGAACAGTGGCAGGCAAGCAAGAGCACACACCAACACACCACAACACACACACAACACAAGCACACACCACACATACACACACACACACACACACACACACACACACACACACACACACACACCAAATAAATGTTTTTCAAGGATAGTTTGGATTATGTGTGGTGTTTCTCTAATTTGGATTTTCAGTAATCCAAATTGGACTCTGTTGTTTTGATGGTACTATGTTGTTTTGGGGGATCTATTACTGGGCACAGTGGAATACACCTGTCGTCCCAGATCCTCAGAAAGCTGAGCTGGAAATATTACTTGTGTTTGGGAGTTACAGACTGGGCAACATAGTGAGAACGTATCTCTCATCTTTACTGAAAGTTATCTGTTGTGCAATTAACTGAAACCAACTCTTTGTCTAAAATGAGGTGAACTGACACAGGAAGCATGTTATTCCCGCAGGAAAACTGTGCTTCTAGACTGTGTGCATCGAGCCAGGAAGGTGAATACCCTCTTGAGAAGACCTTGACCATCAGTCCTATCAAATCTGAGCGTGAAGCGCTGCTAGTGGGTAAGGAAGCCAACACATACACAAAACCCATAAGGTACACAGAAAGACAGGAGGGGGCATTTGACATTAAAGTGTCTGATAAGTGTTATGAATATCATGGTCAAGAACTCGGAGTTCTAAAGGTGTTAGAGAAAGAGGGAAGAAAATAATTTTCATAAAAATTCTAAGAACAGCTCCAAGGCACTTCTGGCTCCTTGTTGCCATTGTCCATGTCAAGTGTGTTGAGGTCAGCATTACACTAAGAGCGTTGTTTTTTTTAATCTCTCTTCAAGGAGAGAAGGCCCTTTCCCATTCATTCCAAAGGCTACTACAGACACTGTTGGGGAAGGAAGCTTTCCCAGATGAGCCTCTGTAGCAAGTGTGTGCCTTTCAAGTTCTGTGCTATTGACTGAGCCATTTTTATTCATGACATTTCTGACACTAAATGAGGGGATATCTGTTTTTACTTCTTGACACAATTTATTTTCTTTCCAATACTGCTTTTCCAACTCTCCAACACCAAGTATG